TCCCCCCCAGCAGACCAGGGAGATGCGGAGTGGCTTTTCTCAGCAGACACCTCAGCTTGAGAATAAAGGACTGAGGTGTGGGAGAATAAAACTGAGTTCTGGAGAAATGTTTGGCTAGAGTTTCCCCTACAATATGTACCAGTTCCGACTTACATACAAATTCAACTTAAGAACAAACCTACAGTCCCTATCTTGTACGTAACCCGGGGACTACCTGTACTGACTGGAAATGTGTAATATGCCTTAAAAATCCATGCCGTGTTTCACTGTCATGCTATGTAAACAAGTAAATTAGCTTTCCCCAATTACAGCAATTACAGGTATCATCATGGTATTCACAAACCAGCCAGTAGGCCTATCCATATACATTTATTTTGGGTAGATGAACAATTCTCCCCACTCTTTTTCTAACCCATTTCCCCCGCCTTAAGAAGATTATTCTTATATAAATCACAAGATTTATGGGCAAAATCATTGTTCTGATATTTGATTATTTAACATGAGTGTGCTACATAGGAGATAAAATGACATATTGGCAATGAAACTAAAATCTGCACAAATTAACAAGAATGGGTCCAATCTTGCAGCCCATTCCACACAAAAACTCATCAGTGAGTAAGGCCAGCAGGATACAGACCACTTATGGGAAGCAGAGGAAAACTTTATTTAATTAAACTTCTTAAAATGCTGAAGCAGGAATTGTATTAATGTGAGAAAGCATTAGCATGACTAACCCATAATGATTAATGGCCTAATTTTCTGCAGTGCAGAGTACCTCAGTTCCCCAGATGCTGACTTAAAATGCAGCTTTAAGTGCTCAGAACCTCTGCTAACCCAATTCTATATGACTTGCCCAAGGTCACAAAGAAGTCTATGGCAGAGCTGGGAATATATGCTGACTCTCCTATGTCCAAATTCAGTACCATACCCACAAGACCAACCTTTTATTGCTTTTTTAATCATACATTTCATTGCTCACAACTAGTGTTTTTTGTGACTGTACTGCCCAGTACACAATACTGGCACCTCCAGATGCAATACCAGCACCTCTAGTCAGAGCTCAGCAACTTTTCCCCTGGAGTTCTGGCACCTTTTTTTTTGTTTTAAACAAAAAAAGCACTGCTTCACAATCTTTTCTCTTTTTATGCTTCCTCTTCTTAATAGTCACCTATGAGGAAATAAATAGCAAGGCAGTACCTTGACCGATCAGCTTTATCAATTGTGACACAGTCCTCACCCTGGGACCCCTTATTGGGTCCCAATTCAACCAGAGACCCCTTTTTGTACAATCTCCTGTGCCTTTCATCGTCCATGCCAATTTCCTACCACCTTCTATTTACAGAGCTTTGGTTGTTTGTTCCTGTAGCTAACTTAGCTAGCCTCTCCAGCTGGCTGGGAAGTACACTATGGCTCTTCCACTTCCCCCACAACTGCCTCTCTGGCAGCCTTATAAGCCCTCTGGCTAATGAGGCCCACAGGTGTTTCACATTAGCCCCTCAGGCATGGGCTTGCTCATCTGGATTCAATTGCTCTTTTCAGCCAGGCTGTAATGGCAGAGCTCTGGCTTAGCAAGCAGCGGGTCACACAATGCAGACATGAATGATACTTACTTAAGTTCTGGTGTTAAGAGGGAACAAGACATCAGCCTTTCAGATCAGCCTTATAAAGGTTTTAGTGCTTCCTTTACCTGTGTTTTTCCCAGTGTCACTGAATGGAGTTTCTTGACTGCCTCAGTAATAGCCCTGGTTTCCACAGAACAGAGAACACTGCAGATTGCTTTAGCTTCTTCAATCACTTTATCCACTTTACACTGTTGATGGCAAGGAGAAAAACATCCATGGTACTTTAATAGAAATACCTCACAAAAGCACTTATCAGTAAGCTAAATAAGTTAAACTGAAGTCAGTGGGTGCATCCAAAAATAAGTCTGGCACAAAAGAAAAATATCATCCACAAACCCAAGAACTTGGCAGACTGCTGAGTAGCAAAGTCTTCAAAACAGCAAGCATGAAATTCCATATGCAGGGTGAAACTTTCCTAATGAAATCTTTAATAAGCCAGGTATCATCTGCTTCAGAGTTTGATTACATACCTGAAAGAGTTAAGCCTATTTAACCAAGGTTTTGTGGAGCTTCAAGAACATTAAGGCATATCTAACCTAGGCATATCGAACCTAAGCTTCTTGGACTAATTCCTTATTTTTATTGAAAAAAAATGTGAAAAATTTAGTTTCTAAGACTGATTCTAAGGCAAACCTTGGTGGTTTAGTTGGATTTCATAATTTCCCCTCAAACTATTAAATCTTCATGAACATAAAGTCCAGACCTTTCAAATATTCTATTTTACAAGCCCATATGCAAAATTACATTTTTATACAAACTGAGCTGTTCCAGATATGATGATGATGTATTTTAAAAAGGTGACCCAAAAGAGAGTACATCATCTATGAGTACTTCCTTAATGGAAGCTATTTATGCATGAAATGTCACCTGATAGAACTCATGGCAGAGACTAAAGATGCAGATCAAGATGATGCTGGAATTCAGTTAGGAATCTAAATATATAATACAGGACAGGACAGAAGAAGTGGCAAAGATAACTCAAGATTTGCAGATACCTTCCAAAACAAAAAGGTTTCTGGAGGATGGATTGCAAGAAGAGCAACGTGTCACTTTATTCCATTGGTCAATGAAGACAAGGTAGAGACTCAGCTAGTGGTGATGAAAATGAGATGAAGTTTGCTGCACTAGGGAATGAGGAGGAGACAGTTATAAGGTAAGTGGCAAGGAAGAAAAGAAGGGAAGCCAGTCCCCACAGAAAAGAGGTCGAGATGACAGAGATAACCAGAAATTGGAGTTTAAGAAAAAGAGAGGCCAATGGATAGGGACTGCAACACAAGACAGATTCATTCCCAGAGCAGGGTAAGACAGGTGTGTAGGGTTGGGAACTCCATACTCAGAAGAATGAACAAGTCTCTTACCTGACCAGATCCAGAGGGGAGAATAGAATGATGCCTGCCATGAGCAAGGATATGAGGTGTGAACATGAAACTGATGAGGATCCTGATAGGAGCATGGATAAATCCACTGATTGTGCTGAATGTTGGGATAAATGACATTGCTAGATTCCCACTAGAATAAATCAAGTAGAAAGGCTGGAAAAAGTACTTAAAGAGACACAAAGTTAGGTGATTTTCAGCTGAATTCTTTTGATCCCTAGCGAAGGAGGGTGAAAACATGATAAGATAATGAGGATCAACAGATGGCTCAAGGATTGGTTCGAGGAGGAAGGCTTTGGAATGAATGACCATTGTGTGATATTCATAGAAAAAGACCCTTCTCAACTTATGGACTCCACTTGAGAATTACACTTTTGAGACCAAGGTTGGCATGATTCGTAAGAAGGGCTTTTAATGAGGAGATGCGAGGAGACGGTTGGATGAGACCAGTGAAATCTCCATGACTGGGCTCCAGTACACAGGAGGAGGAAAATCAGCTACATGATGATATATTAAAGGATAACGGAACATTACAAAGTAAAAGTATCAACAGCACAGAGAAAAACATACAGATATTGAGTGGAGGGGTAGACAAGTCGTTATTGAAAGGATTAGAACTAATCCAAATAGAAAACTGAGTGAGGTCATAGAGAAACAATGGAAATGTTTGTACACTAATGTGAGGAGTGTTGGCAATAAAATGGAGGAACTTGTAACTTATAGGGCAGGGTCTTGCACACATGTACAGGGTCGAATTGATCACCATATTTTGGGTTAGGAAGGAATTTTCCCTAGAGCCAGTTTGTCAGAAATCCTGGAAGTTTTTCACCATCCTCTGCAGAGTGGGATATGGATGATTTGAACGTTTAAAACTAGTGTAAATGGGTAAATTCTCTATAACTTGAAGTCTTGAAACCATGATTTGAGGAATTCAGTAACTAGAGCAGAGGTTGTGTGTCTATTACAGGAGTAACTCAGTAAGGTTCTGTGGCTTGCAATGTGCAGGAGTTCATTGTAGAATCTTGGTCATGCTTGTCCCTTCTGACTTTAAAGTTTATGAGGGGGTCCAACAGCTATTACAGGGATTACAGAAACATGGAGGAAAGCAGTCATGACTGGAGTTCACATATGGAAGACTATAGGAATAAAGGTAAGGTTGATGAAATAGTATTACATCAATGAAGTAGGAAACTTAAAAAAAAAAACCACCAAAAACCCAGGAACAGTATGGACAAAATCTATTTAGATTAAAATCACTTTTACAATTATTATCTAAAGATGTTTAATCCAGATAATGTTAGGTGTTTGCTATAGATCCTTAGTGCCACACTTATATAGAGAGAGATCACTTCAAATATTATTTGAAAGATAAGTACTGCTGGAAATTGTGTCATAATAGGGGACTTTCACATACTGAATATAGATTGAATAATAAATGCTAATAATGACAGCAGATTCCATTTATTCCTGAAAAAAATAGATGTTAATTTCCTTCATCAAACTGCCACTCAATCAGCAAGAAGTGGTATAATTGATGCTAGACTTTATTTTGGTAAGTGCTGAAGACCTCATAGACGGTCATAGGAAATAATCTTGGATCAAGTGATCATGAGTTGATTCCGTTGAAATTAAATGAAAGGATAATAAAAACCAGATCACCAACTCTGTCATGGTTCCTTCCCCACTCTAGCAAAATAAATGCAGAAGCGGGGGCCAACAAGTGTACCCCAAAATCTTATCTACCAGGCTTTGGTATAAAACTTCCCCCAAAAATCTTAAAACTCTAGATTTTGAGGATAGAATCTCCGCTGCCACTACCCAAATTAATAAAGAAACCAGGGGAGAGACCATTTGGGAAAATATCACCCCTAAAGCAGGACACCACTATTAGCCAATATCAGGTTAATAAAAGGAAAAGAGAAAACTTTTATCATCACCACACTATTCCTGTTGCAAGCAGAACAATTAGATGGAAAAGTAACAAAATAATTTCATGGAGAAACTCCATGGGCCTAGAACTTAGTTACAAAGGAAAGCCAAAACATTTTTTAAAAAGTGCCCAGACAGCAGATCCCATGCCCAAACCATAAAACAATGAAACCTAACGCATTTATCTAAACGTTACCCTACTTACAGAAAGCAAAGAAAGAGTATTTTCTTGGAGGGAGACATAGTATCCGTCCCCAGGGCCAGATTAGACCTTTAGAAGTCCTAAGCATTGAAAAGATTATGGTGCCCCCCATGTGTAATTCAAAATAAAAACAATATTATACCGTAAAATCTCTTTTTTTGGGGGGTGTCTCTGCTTTGCTGGTGCCCTAAGCACGTGTTTAGTCTGCTTATTGGGTAATCTAGCCCTGTCCGTCCCCCTCAATAGCTGTAGAGAGCTGCTCAGAACAAAGGAGGGAAAAACAAAAAATTCCTTTGTCCCAGTTTAAAATTCCTGCCTACATTCCTATTGGCTACTCCACCTAGCTAGGTAAGGGACATAGTTAACCCCTTAGTCCCCAGGCTGCTGGCTAACCCTCATGATCATGACCACCTCAAAAAGGCAGATTTTGGGAAACAAAAGGAATTAGCTGAAGAAAGTCAACTGCACTAAAGATAAGAACTTAAATGTGGAGGACATTTGGAATTGCTTCAGATCAACTGTGCAAAAATTATCTGAAATTTGCATGACAAGCAAGGGGGTGCTTGACAAGCAAGGGGGTGGGGAGGAGAACCCTTGTAGTGAAAGGTGCCATACAGAGGTAGATGAATAACCTCCTCAAAAAGGAAAAACTTAAAAACAACCATTAGTCTTGCAGCACCTTAAAGACTAACAAAACATGTACATGGGATCATGAGCTTTTATGGGAAAAACCCACTTCTGCTCATGATCCCATCTACATGTTTTGTTAGTCTTTAAGGTGCTGCAAGACTAATGGTTGTTTTTTTAAAGTTTTTCCAGTTACAGACTAACACAGCTACCCCTCTGAAGCTCCTCAAAAAGATCATTAGTGCTAAGAAGAGAGTCTAGAGAAAATGGAAAAGGGGGAGGACCAGCAAAGAAAACTACATTGTAGAGAAGAAAATTTAGAGAATAAAGAGAGAACTGCAAAAAGTCAAGTGAAACAGATCTTGCCAAGGAAATTAAAATTAATAATAAGAGGTTTATTAGTTTAACAAACAAAGAGAGACTAAGGGTACGTCTAGATTACCGCATTTTGTCGACGGAAGTTTTGTCGACAGATACTGTCGACAAAACTTCCGTCAACAAAGAGCGTCCAGACACATTGAGTTCTGTCGACAAAGCAAGCTGCTTTGTCGACAGAACTCCGTAGTCTGGACGCAACGTTACAGGCAATAACACCTTCTGTCGACAGAGTTCTGTCGACAGAAGGTGTTATGCCTCGTAAAATGAGGTATACCAGCGTCAACAAAACTGCTGAGTTCTGTCGACGTTATGTGTAGACGCTGTGTGGACGTTATGTATAGACGTTATGTGTAGACCAGTGTAGACGCTGGTATAGTTTTGTCGACAAAAGTCCACTTTTGTCGACAAAACTAGGTAGTCTAGACACACCCTAAGAAAGAATGAGGTTGAATCACTATGCAGTGTGGATGGGAAGAAGATTAAAGATAATCTAGGTATGGCACATACTAACTACATAAATTGCTTCTGTTTTCAATAAAGATCATATAAAACATGTGCATGAAGCCAATATAGTTCATGGAAATCAGTGTCTAGAAATTAATCTTATTTCATCTGAGATGAAAGAAACTTTAGATAGTTTAGTGCACTCAAATCAGGATAAAGGAATAATTTACATCCTAGAATACTGGAAGAACAAATACATGAAATTGCTGGTGTGGGAGTACAGATTTTTAATACCTCTGAATATACAGAGGTATTAATGCCATATGACTGGAGAATAGCTGGTGTTGAACCTATACTTATGCAAGGTAAAAAGTGATCTAGGCAATTACAGACTTGTTAGTCTAAACCTCAGTAGTACGTAAGGCTTTAGGACAAATTATATCACGGATGGTGAAGACCTATTTAAGCTAAAAGACTATGGCACAAGAACAAATGGATATAAACAGGCCATAAATACATTCTGGCTGGAAATTCAAAGACTGTTTCTAACCATCAGAGGGATTAGGCCTAGGGCCTAATAGGAGGTATGAGGGCAAACAACTTAAGGAGGGAACTGGACAAACTTAGGAATGTGATTGCATGATGGGGTTGCTTGTAATGGTGAGGTACTGGTCTCAGCAGTACTGGGGCTCACATCTAGTTAACATGTTTTGTTCTTAAAAGCTCAGGGCTTCAGCCAGACCCCTGCAAGGATCAGGATGAGATTCCCCTTCCCCCAGCATATTCTCATTTTTGTTGTTGTTTTATTTCCTTCCTCTGAACCTCAGGGGTGGCCCTGGCTGGGGATGGGACACTGGAAGGGAGGACAGGACCCTGAGGTGATGTGCTATCAGTCGCTCTCTCATGAGTTTGATTACTTGGTTCTTACTCACACGCTATGGATCAAATTGATCATTTGTGGGGTTGGAAAGGAATTTTCCACCAGATCAGACAGGCAGTGATTGTAGGGCTAGGTCTATACTGCTGGCTTTTGCTGGCAGAGACTATACTAATGAAGCACTCGTTAGCAACTTCTTGTGCTTCCTTTTTTGAGGCATAAGGATCTTGTGCAAAAGGGTGGGTTTTTTCTTTTTTCTGCACAAAACAGATCCATCTACACTGCACCAAAACCTCTTGTGCAAAAAGCCTCAGGCAGAGATATGCAAATGAAGCATGAGAAGTTGCTAATGAGCGCTTCATTGACATAGCCTAGGTGTTTTTTTGCCTTCCTCTGCAGTTTGTGCGCGCACGTCACTTGCCAGCATTTCAGGTAGCCATTTCCTTGCCATTGGAGGCTTTGGGCACTGGTGCACCTTCCTATTCACTGTTTGTGGCACACAATAATCTAGTTTCCTGGACATGTTGATTTTAGTGCCTGTGAGCTAGGTGGTGGTGTTGGAATGTGATACTCAGGTAGATGATTTGTAGTGCCCTTCTGGCCTTGAACTCTCTAGACATCTAAAAAGGGGTGTGCATAGATACTACATACTCTGTGTTGGGG